GGCGTTCGTGCATCTCCTCAATTTCTTTGCAACCTTAGACCATTGAGCTTTCCATTTTCTTTTCGAATCCACTTTCAACTTTCCTTTCTTCTCCTATTCTTCTTCCCAATGGGCAGCCAACCAAAACCGGCGCTCGAATATGCGTGGTTAATGGTTGTTCAAACTGAAACTGAAATCCGTGGACGTTCAAAGACTGGTACGCACCTTTAACTGTTACCTGAACCACTTGATCGGTGCCACCGGCTGCCGTTCCTTTTACACTGTTAAATACCGCTCTACAGTGAAATGTAAAAAACATTTTAGAAGTTCTAATCTCATTCGTACAAACTGTACTTCATCCACTATCCATGGCATGTGATTAGTTCCACGCTTGATACTCCATCAATTCAGGTACCACAACCAAGATCGAACTAGGTCTGATAATTTAATTACATGCATTTGTCTACAGAAAACTGTAAAAACGTTTTTGGCAGCAGTTGGCAGATTCTGTTAGTAGACTATCATTTCACAAAGGTGGATTGATCTCACGGGCAGAAAAGATTAGCTTGAACCATAGGGCCTAATCCGCACTTGAATGAGGCAGAAAACAACTCGTTTTAGACGATTATTTTTTGGCACTGAACGATAATGTTTGGCGCTATGAACCGCGGAGAGCACAAGACCACTTTTGTCACACGGGTGGCCAAATGATGAGCATCGGTTTTGTGTGCAAGATAGAGTGGGGATGAGGAGAGAATGGTACTGAGCCGACACAGATACGTACACACTTTGATTTGTTCTGTTCTAAACAATCAGTATCAGCACAATGGCTGTTGGAACCACATGATTCCAGCCTACACACCCTGCTCTCCCACGTGCACGCACTTCCTGTCTCGGTGATAAACGGACCAGAATGAACGAATCACAAGAATCAGTGATGTAAACAGACTGAAAGAATAAATAAGTCCCGGTGAACATAGTCCGCGATTTCATGTGTGTTTATTCGGACACAATGCATCCTCTCCTATGGATTATTGTGATGATCTCCCTGATTGAAACTAATGCCGAAACGGATACCAAAAAAAATCCAGTACTCAACGACGAGCTCCGACGCCTTTTAGACCCGGACTCGGCACGTCGCTCGTCGAGTACTCGACGCCCGGTACCGTCCCAGCCACCTGTGCGCGATTCGGAAAGTGAAGAGGACAACGACAGTGAATCAGAACTCGAACAGGAATATCCGTGTGCGGGAAATGGTGGAACGGGTTCGGAAGACGACGAACAGGAAAATAGCGAAGCACAACAGGAAGACGAGGATCAGGAGTACGAAGCGCCCGAGGAATTTGATTGGGAAAAAGAAACCAACCGTCCAGTAGCACACGGACGACCCAGTTGGATGACGTGGGGAGGGCATCGACGACCACCTTATCCTGGCTGGTGGAATATGCACGGTTATGCCAAGTGAGATAATGATTCGTTAAAGTCAACAACACAGACAGAAATAGAGGAACACATATGCTGACATACCATTTGTTGACATTCACATTTGATTAATCCATCCGTTTGTCAGTACATCACAACCTTCATTGCTAATTTATTCATCCTATTTGGAACATCTCATTGAAATGTTTCCGGACCGTTATTATCGTCTTGTTAACCGTTGCTGTGGTCATGTATGTTGTACGCATTCAGTCGCAGTTCGTATGAAACGGTTGAAGAAAAAAACAGTCATTTCAGTTCGCTTTTTTTTCTTCTCCTACTAGTGTGTCCGTGAGGGAAATCCGAACATCTATGATTGAACTAAATAACATTATTACATTAACAATGTGTGAACCAACGAAATATCCCAAAGATCGTATCACCGATTTCGCGGTTGAAGGTTTGCATATAATGTGATTCTTGGTCCGGTCCTTTACATACCTGTATGCGTTTCCCTACAAATTATTCCTGAGTGTATTTATTGGGACAGTCCGTGCGTGAAACGCTGCAATTATGCTACTCTGGTTTTATGAGTTCGATGCAATGAAATACTAAAGGATCTTTTGTTTTATTAGTTAGATATTACTCATGGTACAATCCTCAAAAATTGACCGTTACGCATCGGCTAACCAAAACGGAAGATCAAACGGAGCGACAGAATGTTTTAACTTCTTAGTCCCTGTCCGCTGCCACACACCCCGTCGCCATCAGCACCAAACACTGTTGGTTCTTACAAAGCCTAGTCAGATCACGAAGTAACAAACTAACACCAAAAGGGATCTCTCTACACAATAATTATCGTCTACAAGATATCGCATAAGTTAGCTGATGAATTATTGAAATAACAAACGACTTGCTTGGAAACAAAATTCGGTACGTGAAACAAACTTTCGGTAGGTCATCAGCTAGCCATTTACAATCATATGGTCAGAGCATCCGATATTGTTTGATCCGGTGTGAGATGGACCTTATCATACTAGGTGCAAAGCGTTCTTGCGTACGATAGCATTTTGGGTGAACCTCTACCGGGTTATGACGTTCTTTGAGCTATCGTGCTCGCATAAGTTGGTCACCCGACGACTAGTGATGCATTACAAATGCCGGGTTACTCTGGGGTTTTAACTGTATTGCTTGCCAAGGAAGCGATTAGGATAATCGTTCTCCAGCAAAATATTCCTTATTTGCTCCACCTCTTTGATTAGACTGTTCAGGGGTGCCGATTCAGTGCTTGCCTTGTTAGCCCATTTCCCNTTTTAGTGGTACCAAACTGTTCAAACTGATGTATTGTCTCGCCAGTTGGCTTTCTGTACACGCTCAGGTGGATAGCTCCGTCTTCATTCTTGCGAGCAAAGACATCCAGAAATAGAATGCAGTCATACGTTCTCTTTTCCATAGTGAAACAAATGAACCTTGCGAAATACTGTCAGTTTTCCCTAAAATTCGACATTTCGTTGTCGGCAAGAAACATATAACCGATATATCATTAGTGATATTTCTATATTCAAATGATGCTCTTTCAGGAATGTGCACAAATATTTGATGGTTTCCACATATTCCTCCCAACTCAAGCAAAAATGCATCTCTTAGATCATTTTGTATGTAATGGCTTATTTTTGATTGCCCGCCCTCTCCCTCACCTCTCGGTATATTTTCAATTGCACGCTGTAGTGCAAACAGTACTTTACTGTGGCTCACTCTTTGAAGAGGAAAAGCCCGCTCGATGTATGAGAGCCTCAGTATGGTTGGAGCGTTTCGAGTCAGCACTCGTTATCCTTCCCTTGCATCTCACGAATTGCTCTGATACGACCAAGAGTCTCAAACTACCTCTACTGAGGAAGCCCTACTAACTGCCTTCCTGTGGCGGTGTTTTCCCACCAAAGCGAGAGGACGAAAAGCCAACATCTGGAGCTATAATCGGGTTGGTGAACCATTTGCAGTTCATCCAGGGGAGTTGGATAAAAACCCTGGTTCCAAACCAACCAAGAGGTGTATAAACCGCACACACCCTGGTAGTGGCAGAGGTCACCGGTTCAATTGGGCATCGAAGTGTATTGGGCACCTTGGACGTTTGACCCGGTTCAAAGGGCGAATGATCCGATTAGCTGGACACCAACCACTAAGGGACTGCGGACTCTGAGCTCCGTCCTGCCGTCTTTCAGGTCTGGCTTTCTAGCCAAAGGTTTCAGATGGGGACCCCGAGGTTAGCCCACTTCATCGGTTAGGGCAGCCAGGAAGTGACATGCCCTCACAACCTATAGATTTTTTCTTCGTATGTTGTGCCACATTTGATAGTTCTATGTGATTGTTTACGCTCTGAAATGAAAATGGCTGAATAGTGGAAGGGGGTGAAATTCATTGCCTCAAACACCTACTGTTTAGTTATAATAACCGATAACCTGACGTATGGTATTTTACACCGGCTTGTGAACAAGCATGGTGCCAACGCCATAACAATATTAACAATAACTATAGTAGGGGATAGGTGGATTCGGGTACAGAGTGAAGTGGAAAGAGGCTGGAACAGTTAAATATGGGAACATGGAAGATAACTGGGATAACAAAACTTTTTGTGTTTCACCGTACACTTTTTGATATTTTTTGTGTATGGAGCAACGAACTGCATAAAGAAACCCCTGTGGGAGGTGTGGTATTGAACCGGGTGAAATGAAAGATACCTTAAACCAAAATGGAATGGTGGCACTGTTTGAACCTCGGACCTGAAGGCCTAAGGTCACCGGTGGCAGCGATTCAAGTCACATGGTAAGCAATATTCTCGGTGTTTCTGTAAATAATGTACATTAAAAGAAAGGATTAATCTGGACTACTTATTAGACGCCACAGGAATGATAAAAGAGGTTAAGGTGACTTGATATTGCAACAAAGAATATAACGACAACTAGATTATATCTCACCCCGTTTTGTCCCCGACCCTCCATTGCATTGAGCCCATCAATAAAGTCAAAGTCAAAATTTTATTATGAGCGATTTAACAAAGCTAAAGCTTATCATGCCCCATAGGATTTGTACAGAACACTTTGAATAACTTCACAAAGAGAAAACAATGATAATAACAATATGCATCATCAGTCACGGATGTCGAAATTTTAAGTGTTCCAATGCTTTATCAAGTTGCGATTTAAATAGTTCAACTGTAGGAGCACGCACTACATCGGATAGGAGAATTCCATAGGCCGCAAAATCTGACTGCAAACGAGTGATGCCGGTGGCTGTTCTGGGTCTCTACCCTCAGTGGATTTTCCCTGAGGTGATCATTTTGAGATAAAGTTAGCATAGAACAAGGGTGGTTGGGTTGATGCAGTATGTAATATGCCAAGATTAGGTCACCCGAAGTCGGTGGTATTGAAATGAGCAGAGTCCCAATATTTGCAGTCTTTCGGAGTATGTCTTGTCATACAGACCTTTTACCAACTTTGTTGCCAGCCGACGAAACCGATGAAACAGGTATTCGAGTGAGAACAAACACAAGTGCACGGAAGGGTATAATAATAGTTCCGAAATACAAAATTCGCCTAGCATTATAACTTTACGGTTAGGAAAAAACCGATCCGTCAATACTTCCACAAATCAATAATCATAAGAATAATATTCGTGAGGACAACTGAAACAGAAAAATAAATTGAGCCTTTAAGGTTCGTGCAGAAGAAACGTCAAAAGAATCGACTAGTGTGGTTGGTGGAACGAATGACTAGTTGACAAACTAGTCACGAATGAGATCGACAGACTTGAACAACGATTCCAGTTCGTCAACGCTGGTACAAAAATACGGGGTGACTTCACGCACCGATGATCGATTCACATTCACGCCAAACCCGACGAAATGAATGGCCGGCGGACAGGCACGCGCATCGGTCATTCCATCACCCACGATTACCACGTCCCGGTGGAATCGTTTGATCAGTTCGGCCACGATCAGTGCTTTGCCTTCCGAAGTGGATGTGGGCGCGCTGGTATCGAATCCGGCATAGGTACCTACGTCAAGGATTGGAAAAATACCGAGTAACGTGCTAAAGCAATAACCAAAGCTTCTCACGATTCTACTAGGTTTCTATTGGGAGGAGAGTTGGAATGTAAACAGATGAATAAATGCACCATCGGTTGTTTGGCTAACACAGCGCCAAACAATGATAGCAATTTGTGAGAGCCCACTTTCGAACGCGATAGCCTGTAATGCACCTTATTGGTGAACAANCACAGGAATACGCCCATTTAATTAGGATCCTAATTCTTACTATTGTTATTATTATTATTGTTAGCAATAGTAGTATTGTGAGATACTACTCACTTATGGGTAGTAGGTAACATAGTTGGTGATTTCTTTCAATGATCGAAAATAAAACAAGACCACCGAGGGCCAAGTAATGTCCTATGCATTACCCGGTGTGCCGCCGGGAACGGCGATGGTGTGTTTCTGATGAGATGTTTTGTGTTATGTATGCCAAATTGGTGATATCCCATATGAAATCTTCAATAAAAAATCATCCTCGACCAGCACCGCCATCTGAAATCATAACAGTAGTAGTATTCAACTTAATACAGATTGGAGCAAAAACCTTGACTCAATAGGATGGAGCTCAACCTTTTCCTACTGTCTTCCACTTTTACTTCTTTTTATTGAATATACAAATATACGATTTTCAGGAAGGGGGAAGCGGTCAATCAAAGAGCTGCTATACAACAAACGGTGGGGGAAGTTAGGCTATGGCGGTGGGCTTCACACACGTCCTCCGGGGTGATAATTTGGTAACATTACCACCGGGCCACCGCCGAGCTTATCTACTAGGCCTTAAACATTGTCAGATCTCTTTTTGTATTGCACTGGAGGGTATTGTCAGAGGATGAGATACCGTGAAAACCACAGTATAACATAGTATAACAGATTGTAATGTGTTTACAATCATTGTGCAACTCACCATCATCAGAAAACAGAATCTTGTTACAGTAGACGTTTTCGGGAGGAAGATTCAGCGCGTTTGCGACCGGATTCACCAGAATATCAAAGCCACCGCTGATCAGAACAACTTCAATTCCATTGGATTTGAGCTGTTCAATAATTTTTCTGAAAACATAAATCGAGATTGATTGAGTTAAATTAGTCTATCTTATTACACACTTTAAGTGCTGAACAGTAGCGGGATGGACCACATACTCTCGAAGACCTGCTGTTTAGTGATGGAAACCGATGATTCAAGCCCCAGGACTTGGAGTGGCGAATCACATAAGGCCCCGATAGGTTAGGTCCGATACTGAACCGGCCACCAGGAAAGCTGCCTACCATTAAATCTAAGCCTAACGGTGGGGTACATGGTTGATACATTTTCAAGCCACATCAGTTTAGTCAGGAAAGATGCATGTTGCATCCGGATAAGCAATAACATATTTCAGACAACCCCGGAAGAACCTAACAGTTTTAGATTGAATACAAACAGTGATGTACAGTAATTGGATGTAGATTAGTTAGTGCCGAGTTGACCTGTGTACAACAGTTCCCAAGTGTCCAAATAGAAGAAAAAATTAATCCACCATTCGAGGGGTTGCCATTATGAGAAGGCCAATATGAGCAATTTTAATTTATTTTAGCTTCTTACTTTCAAAGCAATGATGAGCCTCAATCTCGGTATGTGATGCAGAATTGGATTCTCAGTACTCAACTACTTTCTTCGAGGATGAAACATCTTGCCTTAACACATAGATTATATCTGCAGGGCAACATATCGATAGCTATGATGCCGTTTAAAGGTGGGGCGAATCCGAGAAACGCACGATGCTTTCTGATGACCATTTTGGACTTCTGTTACAGAGCGCTAACCTGCTGGGCGNGAAAAACCGCTACGTTTTCAGGTATCACGGCTGATAGTTTGCGACCGCAATGTCAACTAAAACGGCTAACCACCTAACTGGCCGTTTCTCTATACGCGACCGGTAGTGTTCAGCTCAACTGACAGTAGCTACTGAAAACCTTCAGGTAACTATGCAACAATGCACTATTGGGATAGCAAAATATAACTCAAAACCATATTACGCAAAAAGACTTGAATTCAAAGAAGTAATGACTCACTTGATACCTGTAGTTAAACTGAGTTTCTTGTGCGACAGAAAACGAGAAAAATCACTTTGAGTTGGTTTCATCAGCTCTAACCGTAGTGTGAGCGATTGTCGAAAGTCCAGTTCCCCACTCATTGCCCGTTTCGTTCTTGGTGAAGAATTCGTAATGAAAAATTAGACACACGTCGTACATCGCCTGTATTTTGTCTTCACAGTGCAAAAACCGAGCCAATTCATCGATTCCTTCATCCGTACACACGGTAGAGTCCACATCAAAACAAACACATCCCACATTGGACCAGGATTCTCCGTGGGTAGACATTTTGTGAGGATCGTGTGCTATTGTGGCGAGTGAGAAGGAAATGTGAACTTATTTGCATTCACCACCAGCAGTTATTATTACTTCTGGAACCATACATAAAATAGATGGAATACTTAATGAAGGAGGATAAACTAGACTACCTCGTTCCTATGCCCTTATCCCTGGGATACATGGATACGGACCATGCTATTACGGGCCCCAGTCTCCCAACGGCTGATAAATAACCACAACAAAGCCGTCGGAAACAGATACCCACAAAACAACGCAAGCGATATTTGCAACTCGGTCTCAAAAAGAAGCCCTCTTGTCTCACCTCTCAGTTCAACCACAAGCGGAAGGACTCCATGAACACTGGACCTTCGTCAAGATAGCAATCTAAATGTCTACCAGAACACCGGAGTCTGGAATACGATCAAAGCAAATTATGGATCTCATAAACCTCGGCGCGGAAATCCCTTAAACCCCAGATCATTAAGACTCTGAGGAACGACCGAGAGAAGGGTAAGAAAGTGTAGAGAGACGGAGAAAGCTGCGGCTATTGATGATAGGACCACTCCTTTCCGTCTCATTAGGAATACAGGCTCAAGTAAGGTGGGTGCAACTGAGGTAGTTAAGGAGCCCGATGGCACATTGATTCAAATTCTGTCTTAAATGATGATTTGCGAGGTTTAGTTCAGCTGACCGTCACTGACAGTAGACTCGTCAACCTTCACCTCGACCAGACAAATAGTACAGGGGACTTGCAACCTTAGTCCACTGAAGTTCTCCATTTTCTTTGGGACTATACTTTCAACATCCTTATTTTATTACACACATTTGTGTCGTGAACAGCAGACGGGGCGAACCCTCTGGTCACGAAGGCCTGCTGATCCGTCATGGAAACCGGTAACCTAAGCGGCGGAACTTGGAGTGGCGAACCACCTAAGGCCCCGATAGGCCAGGCGTGGCATTGACCTAGACGACAGCAAAGCTGCTTACCACCAAAGTTGGGTGGCGGTGGCAGGGCTTGAACCTCACACCATGAGGTCCGAAGCACGTCAAGGACAGCCACTGTGCCATCACCACCCTTATCTTACCCATGCAACACGACAATCACCGTTGAGTCACCTCACAGTTACCTGAGAGTCACCGTTTCGTACTATTTTAAACAAGCTCGGTGGCTGTTGGGGATATAAAAATCGGTCGCCACTTTTCAAGTTTCCACTTATAAAGATTTGGATGAACATGTTCATCTAAATGGGCAACCAAAACTGGGGGCAAAAAAGTGCATTGTTAATGGTTGTTCAAACTGAACTGAAACTGAGTATCACTTGATATCAGAACTCCATCTGACATGGAAGCTTCCCAGGAAATAAGCTATCTCGAAAGGCATAAGACCTCCGGCCCAAATGGGCTGTTCCCATCGACCTTTAAGGATGGAAGCTCAGCATTAGTCTTGGAGTTGACGTAACTCCTATGCTCAATTCGAGGGATAACATGTTCCACCTGAATGGTGTGAATCGGTCATCCTACGATTTACAAGAAAGGTGACAGATCCGCACGTGAACACTGCACGCGTGTTAACTAGGCTGGTGTAGGCACTAGATTATCAATACCCCGAGCTAATACGTATAGGTTGCAAACGTACGTTCGTGCGAAAAAAGAACGAGGCGATTCACGAAACGGAGGACGGCTTGCATTGTAACCACCTGCAGAGCAAGAGAGATACAGAGGCGTGAGCAAGCGTGCGGAGAGTGGAAGCAAACACATGCTGACCAAAGAGGTGGCCTTGGTGTGATAAAACAATGAGATGCACAGGAGGAAGGGTACACTTAGAATTGGATATGAATGGTCACTACGGAGCTCCCCCCTAGAAGGCTAGAGAGAGCCTTCGATAAGGGTGCATGCATTGTATACTGTGGTTTGCAAGTCCAAAAAAATAGGATTGCTTGGTGCTTTGCCACGGAAATATCGGGAATCAGCTGTCGAATTAGTTCCAGGTGATGTGGCAGGGGTTGCTGGCCCACAAAAGAAATGTGGGGGAATGAAAATGTCACGGAAAAGCGTCTACAGGTCCGTCGTTGTTTCGCTAATTGCCCCGTTTTGGTTTGTCCTTAGAGAAAATAGGAGGACCGTCGCAGCTGAGCACTAGGCAGTAAAAAAAACTGACGGGGCTGTCAGAAAAAGGTCTTAGATACCCATTTTGTGCTGGAGCGGTGGGAAGTGTATGGAACGTGCCAATATTCTTTCTTGCTGCGTTCTCCTGGTCGAAGTTTTCTTCACAGGTCTTAAGATCTCTGCGTTTTCTTGGCCGAGGTTTTTCTCCCGAGATTGAATACAGAGCCTGGAAGAGAACGAAAGAAAGGTCGAAGCAGCCCTTGTTGGAGCTGATCGGTGAGGCGAAGACAAACACAATGCAAAAAGGGCAAGGTTTTTCGGGTTTCGTTTTGTTTTTTTAATGTGTATTTTTGCATAGAGAAAAAAACGTAAGCCATGGTGGAAAATAATAATAATAAAATCGATGACAAAAAGGATTTGGTTTTGGTTTTTGCATGCATATATGAATACTCAGATGAAAGAAAAATTATCGATATCGCACACTGAGTGTGTTCGTACGTTGTCAGGTGTAAAAACGTGTTACAATGCAAAACGTACAGGTAACTTAAGGACTCTCCCGCGATTAATGATCCGATGTGGTGGGTCGGGATCAGGTACCTGCTCCAAGGGTGTCGCGGGGTTTACCGGGGTGGAGGGAGCCGGACTTGTTGGGAGGGGAGTTGCGGGTGGTGCAACGGGTGGGGGGTGATTAGTGCAAGGAACGGTTTCCTCCAGTTGCGCAGGTTTGAGCCGGTCAATACCGACGGTCTNGACGGTCTCACATTTACCGTTGTGCTCTATTATGTAGGCTTTCTCCAAGCGTCGCAGTACCTTATGTGGGCCGCTGTATTGAGGTTGCAGTGGTGCGCGAAACTCTGCCCTGAGGAAAACATGCGGGCTTTCGGTTAAGCTAGGAAGGAAGGTAGGCTAGGGGTGTTTGCTGGCGAGGTGGTTGAATATGCAACTGTCGCATACTAAAACTAAACGAGCTGCACAGTCACCGTAGTTGAAGTCGGTTGGTGGGGTCAGTGCCATCATTTCTGCTGGGAGACGCAATGTGCGACCGAAAGCCAACTCTGCCTGTGTGGACTGCAGATCAGCTTTGAAGGCTGATCTGCAACCTAACAGGACTAAGGGTAGAGACTCCTTCCAGTCTGGGTTCACCTGCGCTGCCAGAGCACTTTTCAGTTGTCGATGCAAACGCTCGACCATCCCATTGGCTACCGGGTGGTAAGCGGGCGTCTGGACGCGGCGAATGCCTAGGTGCTTAAGTAGTTGTGCGAAAACACCCTCGAAATGAGAACCTCGATCGGTTGTAACTACTGCAGGACAACGGAAGCTAGCTATCCAATCCTCTACGAACGTTTGTGCCGCTGCTTCACTGGATGCGGAAGACAAAGGCGCAGCTACCAGCCACCGACTGAAACGATCGATACAGGTGAGTATACAGATACACCCTTTCGATGGCGGCAGGGGTCCCATTAAGTCTACGTGGACGTGATGGAAACGTTGGTGGACGACGGGGAACGGACCTAGTGGGCTCTTTGTGTGACGAATAATTTTGTTACGTCGGCAGGACAAGCACTGGCGTGTTCATTGGCGGATGTCCCTTTGATGATGTACCACACAAAACGATCAGTGATGAGTTTAACTGAGGCACGGATGCCTAAGTGTGACAAATTATGCAGTGTCCCAAAAACCTTTTTGCGTAAGTTCGATGGAACTACTGGCCTAGAGTGACCTAGGGAGACGTCACAATAGACTTTGTTGTCTGGGGACGGAAGTGGTAGATGTTGGATGCGTAGCGTAAATTGCTTGCGTAGTCGCTCAATATCAGTGTCGCAGGTTTGCGCTGTGGCTATGTCCTGCAAGTCTAGAGCTTCTGGGTAAGGGTTACTCAAGTGATGCGTGAGAGGGCAACTGCGACAGGGCTAACACCAGAGATATGTCGTACATCGCACGTATATTGCGTGATGTAATGAAGGTGTC